CAGTGACTGCTGCAGCTGCAGCCACAATGACCCAGCACTGACTGCTGAGGGGGCTGCGAATCACGCCCAGAGAGAGGCCTGAAGAGAGAAGCAGGGTCTGATCCATAGCCTGTGTGGCAGCTGTTGATCAGCACTTGCCTTTCTCTTTCTCTCCGGGCTGGGCCAGCAGCTGTGCCTCCATTTCTCTCAGGGCCTCCACCAGGACTGCTGATCAGCCCGCCATTTTGATCAGGTTCCATTTATAGGTCCAGAGATGCTGACTGGCATAGAAACCAACCTATTGGAACCAAATTGGCTGGTAGAGGAGGGCAGTTGGGGGCAAGATCAGGCCTGCAGGGGAGGGCAGTTGGGGGTGAGATCAGGCCAGCAGGGGAGGGCAGTTAGGGGTGATCAGGCAGGCAGAGGCAGTTAGGGATGATCAGGCAGGCAGACAGGTGAGCAGTTAGGAGCCAGCGGTCCATGATTGTGAGAAGATATGGACATTCCCCAAGGGGTCCCCGACTGGAGAGGGTAAAGGCTGGGCTGAGGGAATGCCCCGCTCCATGCAATAATTTCATGCACTGGGCCACTAGTAATAATCATAATGGTATAACCCTATATATATTTCTGTCTTATTAAAAATGAAGTATGTTTTATAAAACCCATAGATAATGTATAAGATGATATAATTACCTGGCTTGTGGCAAACCGTAGCTGGTTCCTACTCCAACCCGAGGCAAGCTATAGACAACTTTTTTTACTGTTGCTTGATCAGGGAAATTAAACATAACCGAGGCTGTGGAAAGAAGTAAAATCATGATTTAGAAAAGTATAGGAGAGCAAACCATCAATTTCAGAAATCATTTTCAAGAGCTTATCACCATTTATTTGTAAAGGTAATGTATCTTCTTGGAAATCACCTTTCTGTATAACTTTCTCTATGATAAATCTAGGATTAATATTTCCAAAAATATTAATTTCTTAATATATATTATTATTTTAGTGAGGGCATAACAGAGAGAAATACAGCAGGGAAAAAGAAGAGACAGAATAACACCATGCAAATAAATAGCATTAAAATATGAGCATGTTTTCTTTGAAAATATTTAAGGAGACTTACTTCGGTTTGCCATAAATACTTCCAAAGCAGTGTTTTGTAGAAGATAACGTCTTGAGAATACAGCTCGTATCTCACTGAACATCCATTTTCCATGAAGTCCCTCAGTGTATGCAAGGACCTAAAATAAATAGTTTAAAAGGAAGTTTCCATCAGTAAAATATGTGTCTAAAACTTAGTCTGACAATATCTTAGGCAGTGCTATATAAAAGTCAGTAATTAGGGATCATCTTCCTAAATTCATTATATATCATTTAATTCTATATATTTGAAAAATTCTACCTTTCTTTATCTTAATTGGCTCATTGGGAAATGAAGAAACAAAAAAGTTGTATATTCAATATGACCCTTTGACTTAAAACAGAAAATGTATTTTAACTTTTTGATCCAGGCGTCCCAACTAATTATGTCAATAACTGTTGGTTCTTTTGCAATATCTTCTTTCCTCCTCATTCCTTGCTTAACAAAAGCCTAGTTATGCCTGAGGTATCCATGTATTCAACCTCAGGTGATAGGTCATGATTGATCTAAGCTGGAGGACAGGAAATATTTTTGGTAATAGGCCAAATAGTAAATATTTTCAGGCCTTTTGGTATGATTACTCAACTTTGCCACTGTACCATGAAAGCAGTCACAGACAATATATACTAATAAAAGGGATATATGCTAATTAAACTGGATGTCTTCTGGATGACCTTCTGGACATCCTTCTGAACAAAGCCATGGTGGTGGGGCCGAAGCAGAGGCAGTTAGGGGTGATCAGGCTAGCAGGCAAGAGCAGTTAGGGGGATCAGGCCAGCAGGGGAGAGCAGTTAGGGGAACAGGCCAGCAGGGAAGAGCAGTTGGGGGGGGCAGTCAGGCCAGCAGGGGAGGGCAGTTAGGGGAATCAGATTGGCAAGGGAGAGCAGTTAGGGGGATCAGGCTGGTAGGGGAGAGCAGTTAGGGAGATCAGGCTGGCAGGCAGGTGAGCGGTTAGGAGCCAGTGGTCCCGGATTGCAAAGGGATGTCCGACTGCCAGTTTGGGCCCGTTCCTGCAGGGGTCAGACATCCCCCGAGGGATCCCAAATAGGAGAGGGTGCAGGCCAGGCTGAGAGACTGCCTACCCCTGTGTACAAATTTCGTGCACCAGGCCTCTAGTCTATAATAATAAAAGTGTAATATACTAATTAGACGGATATCCTTCCAGACGACTTTCCAGATGAAGCTGGGGCTATGAGGGAAGCCTGGGTCCCAGGTGCCAGAGGGAAGCCTGTGCTGGCAGCCAGGGGAAGGAAGGCCTACTCTTGCACGAATTTTGTGCATTGGGCCTCTAGTGTATAAATAAATGATCAGGGCTGTGCTCCATTAAAACTTTAAAAAACAACAACAACAACTTTATTTATAACAACAGGAGGGCCTAAATTGGCCCCAAGGCCAGAATGTGGTTAACCTATGGTCTCTGGCAATTATGACAAAGCTATTTCTTGCTTTCCTCAATTCCCTTACAACTAGTGGTAAGGATATTTGACCCAGCACTGGCTAATGAGAATAAAACCAAAGTCAGTTGAGGATGTTTCAGAGAAGCTGATAAATCGAGTCATATATAGCGGTTACACTCTTGTCCCCTTCTTGCTTAAAAGGACATGTGATGGTGGAAACTGTAGCGGCATTGCATAACCATGAGAGGAAGGCCAAGGGAATTGGGTTGAAGTTTGGCCCCTAACATTGAGCTACTGAAACAATCTCAGCAATGATCCATATGTGTGGACATCTTGATACACGATGCAGGTAAATTCGTATTTGGTTAAGCCACTGCTAGTCAAATCTGCAACACACACATTCCTTTCTGATACACTAATGTACATTACAATACATTTGCATTGGTTTACTCTGTATAATCTATTAACTTATATTTCTTTAGTGAAAATGGAAACTAATCATTGAATTTTATGTACATGATATAGATTAAGCTTTGAAAACAAGTTTTGAAGCTCCTTTGTACATTTCCTTTCTCTAGGAATTATGTGGGTGTTCTGTGTGTGTGTGTGTGTGTGTGTGTGTGTGTACACATACATAAAATATATGACCTATTAGTCTTTTATACTTTTTTTAAAATTCCACTTTAACTGCTTAATTCAGTTTTTGTCTTTCGCTAGACAATGGAAGATTTTTGGAGGCAGTCAGACATTTAAATCCTGGAAGATTTTGGAACCTATCAGACTCCTATTTAAATCATGGCTCTGCTTTTTTCTAGCTATAAGGCCTTTCAGAATTATTTAACTCCATCTGATTTTTGATATCTGAAGAAGTGATAATAATATCTGTAACTGGTTAGTTTAAGTGGAGACAATGAATGTAAAGTGAATGGCCTTGGCTACTATTTAAGTTCTATTCATACGTTTATATGTCGTTATTGTCGAATAGAAAGTGACAAATGTTTTTTTCAGTTTCTAAATACAAAACTTTTTATACATTTCACAAAATAATAATAGTGACCTGTCACAATTTATATTAATAAATTCTTAGTTGAGTGCAATGGTTTCCAGATTTGAATTTCATAGACTAGTATAATTTTTTTAAGTGGAAAGAATACTAATATAGGATGGTTTTTTGCTAAGTAGGGAAAATTCTAAGACAAATAAAACAGCCACTACAACAAAAACTATCTTTCACAATGACCACTATTTCACTAAAAAAAATAAAAATATTAAAACCACAGATACTAAAATGATTATAATCTCAGAAAAAAGAAGAGATGTTTTCGCATGAAAGCTGTGTTAGCACCCTTATACTGATACCAATATGCCAGGAGGATAAACACACACACACACACACACACACACACACACACACTCATATTTTACTTATTTTTCCTTTTGAGAAACATGATATAATAAATATTTGATCAATTATTCCTTTCCATTAAGCACATTATCATTCATTTTACTCATAGGAGGCAGGTAGCTCATAAACACATAGACGTTAGTTTGACTCCTTAACTGCTCCATGTCTTACCAACAATGCCAGTTATCAATTTATTGCTTTCCAGCACCAAATTTACCCTTAATTGCTTGTTCTTTGAAAATGAATTTGTGCCCCTTGTTTTTCCTTTGCTTGCTGGCACAATGTTAAGCTTTGTCAGGAAAGGACACTGAACAGACAATGCAGGAGGAAGGGTTTTCTTCCTGGTTCTGGTGTGCTCATTCAGCAGGTTCCTGCAAAATGTGGGCCTGCAGTGTATGGTTGCAAACAGTACCCAGTAACTAGTTTCCTCCAGAATTCCCCCTACTCCAGCCAGTTTTGTAGCAGAGTGTCTGCGGTGAGAAGCCTCCCAGGAACAGCTTCACCAACTCCCAAGAGAGGAGACATTTAGAAAGTCCTGGAGGACAGAGCTCCCCCAACAAGGCACCAGAATGACTTCTCCATCATTCAGTGAGCTACAGCCATGCCTTCCACAACAAGGACCTCTTCCCTGGGTTCAGTGTCAGCTCTAAGGGTAGTGGCTGCTCCTTATATAAGTTGTTCCAAACATATATATGTTTAGAGTTCTTTTTCTTACTAACCATTCCCTTGTTACTCCAGTTTCCTGTTATAATTTATTATAGCTATTTATGTTATACATTCCCTGTTCAAATTGCTAAATGGTTTCTCTCTCCTGATTGGATCTGGACAGGTAACACAAACTCTTCTATCAGTTCTCCTACCACCATTTTCTTTTCTTTTTTTTTAAATTTGTATTGAATATATTGGGGCAACATTGGGTTAATAAAATTATATAGGTTTTGTTAGGGGCAAAAGTAGAATATTGGGAACTAGCTATAGTATTGGGAAATATTAATCATGCTCTGTTAACCATGATTGCCTTATTCTGGTTAAAGAAAGCATGTTCTAACCTGGCTGGGAGTGGTAAGCCCCGGGAGTCAACCTTGGACCTGGGAGTCAACCTTGGAATAAAGTCCATTCTCATTCAAGAACTACCTATTATTATGGAAAGATTAACAACCTTGTTGCCCAAACGATGGAGTCCCACCCCAGTGTGCATAGCCTACTTCCCTATGTAATCTTTATCCTACCCTATATAAGCAGCTGGCTTAAGGGGCTTTGCAGAGAGATTTTTGTGGATGACCTGCTGCTCTTTCATACTGTCAGCTCAACACTGTCTCTGCTGAATTGACTCAAGTAGTGACAGGCAGCCCTGACCCATTGGTTATTCAGTTTCAGTTTCATGTATACAATTCTATAATATATCATCTGTATATTGCATTGTGTGTTCATCACCCCAAGTCAAGTCTCCTTCCATCATCATTTATCCCCATTTTATCCTCTTATACCATCCCTAACCCCCTTCCCTCCCATAATCACTATATTGTTTTCTGTGTCTGAGATTTTTGTTTGCTTTTTCCTTAATTCCTTCACCTTTTTCACCCAGTCCCCCAACCCCCTCCCCTCTGAGAGATGTCAGTCAATTCTCTGTATATGTGAGTCTGCTTCTATTTTGTTTGATAGTTTATTTTGTTCATTATATTCCACTTACAAGTTAAATCATATGGTACTAATCTTTCTATGGATGACTTATTTCACTTAAAATAATAATCTCCAGGTACATCCATGCTGTTTCAAAAGGTAAGATTTCCTTCTTTTTGTTACTGACCAGTAGTATTCCATCGTGTGAATGTACCACAGCGTTTTAATCCACTCATCTACTGATGGACACTTGGGAAGCTTTGAAATCTTGGCTATCTATAATAATAAAAGTGTAATATGCTAATTAGACTAGACATCCTTCCGGGGCTGCAAGGGAATCCAGGGTCCTGGGTGCCAGAGGGAAGCCAGTGCCTGCAGCTGGGGGAAGGGAGGCCTATTCTTTCACAGATTTCATGCATTGGGCCTCTAGTTGTAAATAATGAGAGGTGCAATGAATATAGGGGTGCATAAATTCATTCAAATTAGTGTTTCAGGATTTTTTGGTATCTTTCCAGAAGTGAAATTGCTGGGCCATAAAGCAGTTCCATTTCTAGTTTTTTGAGGAACTTCTATACTATTTTCCACAGTGTCTATACCAATCTGTATTCTTACCAAATAGTTGGAGAGGGTTGCTTTTACTCCACATTCTCACCCACACTTGTTGTGTTTGTTGATTTA